CATTTAGTTATTCCACCTACTAAAGAATTTATTGAAAGGTATTAAGATAATCCTTATCTTAGAAGTAAGAAATATCAAATTTTTTTACTTTATTTGCTGAATCTAATTTATTCGATAGGTATCCTGAAATTGCACAAAGACAAGAAATGTTTTGGGAAGCAAAACGAAAACATCTCCGTGAAGCTATGGAAGTTCACAATCAAATTCCACAACGTCAAAGACGGAAATCAAACAGAGAATCTATTGGATCTGAAAATGAAGAAAGGAACGTGGGACGCGGGCGGAAAACGTTAAGAGATTCTTCAATGTCCGATAATGATAGTGTAATGGAACCAGTAAAACATAAAAAAGCTATTCGATCCCGCAAAGCATCTGAAACCACGTGACCAAAGTTGATGCGTGATTAACATTAACTAACATATTCCTATACATTGTTGATATATTGAAAGTTGTGAAAAATTCATCTGGATTATGTTATTACAGCATACTTGTTTAGATTCACTGCCAAAATTTTACGATATATTTGTATTTGTAAATACAAATCTAGTCTCAGTTGACTGGTCTAACAAACGATAATACAGAGTCCAAAAATTAATCATGTATGTAGAGAAATTTTACACCTTATTGCCATATCTGTTTATTTAAAATGTATGTCTTTGGTTTCTGTATGTCGTGCATAACATAACATTTAGTTCAATTTAACTGTTTATTAAAAGATATGGACAAACAACAAATATTTGCATGGTGATCATGGAAAATTTGTTGGCAAATGTTACACTATCGACAATGAATGAATAGCGTAATATAACAAAATTGTAGAAAACATTCACTTATTGTTTCCAATAGTTCCAGTACATCGTTGATCGATGAGGCATTGAAAGCATTGACTGAAAAATGACTGATTTTTATTTTATTAAAAATATTTTTTACGGTAATATGAAATCATAAATAATATTAAGTAGGAACCTTTGTATAAAATATTAAAATATGAAATAAAATATGTACGTTATTTATTACTGTAATGTTCGATGTGTACATACTTGTAGTTGAAAAAGCATTATTATGAATTCCTTGCGTCTTCCATCTATTCTAGTTTATTGTTTAGATTGTTTATTGTATAAACTACTAATTTTTACTTTGTTTCAATTTCTATATTTAAATATTTGTACAGATAACCAGTAGATACTGAAGAAAAACAGTGTTATATGATTTTATATTGCTATTATATTTTAAAAGTTATTCCTCAATTACGTAAAAAGTAGTACTTGTGTAAAAACAGGAAACACTAATAAAAGTTAATGCAACTATGTAAACATCTAATTACAGCACATAAACATTATGTAATCTTTCTATTTTTATCTCTTTTTGTATCCTTTCTATGTAGCATATTTATCATAAAACATTATTTCATTTTTTCGAAGAAAATTATATTTAAAAGAGTTTTTGATTTATTTACATGTTCAGTTTTGATTTCAGGTGTTTTAGCTACATTTCAAGTCTTACTCACTCCTGGAGTCTTTATAAAGATTATGCTTTTCGAAATCAACGACAAAAAAAAGAAAAGAAATTTAGACATATCTCTTCAAGAATAAATTTCAAAATTAACAAGGTAGCGCGCTATAGACTTTGATTCCTTGTATTTGCATATAGCAGAACGTTAACATAAGTTATTCTCGTGAATGGAAAGAATGCCGTCTATGCATAAAGGTGACGGTCATTCACCTGAACTACTAGCAATTATTGCAATGTAAGATATCTAAAGAAGAAACTGACAGAACCAAACAGAACGAATAAATGTCTGCAGTTGGCAGACTAAAGTTCACCTTCCGCCTAATTACGATTTTCATCTTGTTCTCCTCGTTTTCCTCATTTTCCCCTTTAATGGTCCATTTGCGTACTACAGGGGCGGAACGGAGGGCGAACACACTTTCTCCTGCAGGTCTGACAGCTGGTGAAAGTATTTCTTACGCTTTTATACGGCCGGAGCACCCAAATATCTGTTACTCTATCAGTACCACGCCTCCCTATAAATGATAAATTCGTTTTTGCTATTCATTGGAAGATTATGATATAATACAATCGTCATAAACGATATTATATTTACTCATTGAAACCACATTAATCAGAATATTTCAATCAACATTTAATAAGAAATTTTTACATTACGTATTAATTGTTTAATTATTAATTAATGTTATTTATGTCGATACTCTTTCGATATTTCTGTCATGAAAAAGTGTAGTTAAACTGACAGCAACGTGAAAGTTGAAGATTTGAGATCAAATGTTCGATGATGTACAATGAAAAGGCTAAAGGAGGGATTCATCGAGAACAATGAGGAGTTAATACATTGTTTAGCTATAACGGTGTGCGGTACATTCATATACGGAAAACATTTTATTCTTTAACTTGGCGATCTAAATTCAGTTGCAGTTAGTAGAAACCGGTTTGATATCTGAAAAAAGTCAATTCTCTTTGACGAGGTCAATTTTCTAAGGAACGAACGCACCATGGTTTGAAGTATACATATATGTAACTGGAAATGAACAGAATTCACTGTTCGATATGTTATCCATGAAGAACATAGTAGGTACGAAACGTGTAGGTGAAACTTGTTTCAGCCGAAGAGCAGTTTCAAACACTATACTAATTGCTCGATCGAACGAATTATTGCGACACATTTGAACTAGAATTTAAGCAAGAAAGATATCAAAACCTTCGTTAACATGTATACTTTGATGAATTGTGACAAAAATAATGTTCGGATCAAGTCTATGAACGTGAAATGTGCCAAGTATACACATGCAAGTATACAAGTATAGCTATACCGAAAACTATACACTTCGTTGACGAGAAAAGGAAAAGTTACAGTATGAAGAACAAGGAGAGGCAAAGAAAGTGAATGACGGCCGAATCTTGGAGGGATCTCGTCGATCGCATCAATCGAAAGGAATCACTCCTCGATTTCCGTCAAGTGAAAACAATGACCTTCGATAGGCGTCTCTGCAAGAAAGAAAGTCCACGCGATCTGTTTCCATACGATTTCAATAAATTACATGCTAAGCAGCGCGTTGAATTCAAGGGGGAGAAGCGATTCACGCTGCCGAGGAGTCAAGAAATCGAAGAAAAGAGATCGAAAGTTTCTCAGTGGGCGTGAATTTTGATTTTGTTCTCCCTCCTCTTCGGTTCACCCGGGTGCTTACCGATTGATTGACGTACAATCCAACGATCATGTCAAAATCACTGGCTCCATTTACAAAATCCATATAATTATATAACGTTAACTTTTTAGAACCGTTAAGTTAAAAATTGGTATCTTAGAATGTAATGTACCCGAGAAATTAAACTGAGAAAATAATTGAAAAGCGAATAAGTGCATAAGAAGAAAGGAAAGAATACAAGAACTTTTTATGGATGTAATCAAGATATGGATTCTGCGTGAAAGGCAATTAAATTAAGTACGAATAAACCAACCTACTTTCGACATTTCAGTAACACAGTGTGCAGCTTACGATTTAGGTGAAAAGCAATTAAAGTGTGTATTTGTATGTCATGCATACGAAGAGATACAAAGATGCACGCAAATAGGCCAGTGATACGCAAAAAAGCAACTTTAGCTCATCATTATTTATCGCAAGTTCTTGTCTCAAATCCTTATACCATTTGATACTTTTAGATTTTTAAATGACAATAGAAACTTAATAAATGAATATAGAATAGCCTGTCGATGTGCTCCAACAGTTTATAAAATCATAATAAGCAGTTCATTAATGCACATAAAGATTAAAGTCACGTTTATTGAATGCAAATAGAGTTTTAGCAACGGCGTAAAATTTGAGTCATCGAAATACGGCGACCTACTATCGGAAGAAAATTTTCATGTGGTGCGTGGTAGAAAGCCACTTCACCTGATTTCGTTGGGACCCCATTGCTATTGAAAATACTTTGCGGAAACGACCGGATGTGAATTCTCGTGTCTATAAAAATAAGAAGTATTAAAAGGCCGTAGCTATCGGTGACGTAAGAATTGCATCCAACCGTGCAATCAACCGCTTTTTCTTCAGGTGCTTCGTTAAAATCTCATTAACCATGAAAACACATCCATTGGTATACAAATATTGCCAATAATTATGTTCACCTTTATCTATTCTTTCTTAATTCCAATAGCTTTCGACATTCGTGTGAAAAAAACGTAAGGAATTTCACTTAAGAATTTCTGATTTGACGCAGCTCTGTTTCACTTTCTTGAATTGCCAGATAGGTATCGTGCTTTAACTGCAATCGATTACATATCATAGTACAATACCTGCTTCGTTACGTATATACATATAAATTCCACGTTTAACGTAATTAGCTTTCTATTATTTCCGATTCGATTTTTACGATCTATATCCTATATATCATGTAATACAATTTGACATAGTAGAGCACGTTTGTAAAGCTTTTCGATGATGAAACATGATCCAAAATTCTACTTCGTATCCTACTTCATTAATTAAGATCTCTATGTGTCTCATCCATTTTACAAGATTCATTTTGGGAATGCGTGGGCGAAAGGAACGAATGGATAAAAGAAACTATTTAGCGTTCCGCGAATAAAGCCACGCGAAACAAGTTATTAATGCTTGAAATGAAAATGGAAAGTCAGAGAGAAAAGATTTCAGCTTCAAAGTAAGCCAAAGAAATTATTTTACCGTTCGCAGCACATGAAAACTTTTTCACTGTAAATATCCACGCCTTCTTCTATTAATCACAATTTCAGAAGACTACGTTTAATTTAGTTCCAAATCATCTAAATCCAAGGTAAATTGCATTTGCCTATAAATGTCCCATGCTAAACATTACACTTAATTAAATCATTTAGGACTGCTTCACTGCATCATCCGATATAATCCGATAAAATAAAGTTAGAATAATTCACAGTTATACTTTTATACCATTACATCAAATTCATCTTGCTCATTGGATTGATATGACATTGATGATTTTTCGCTGTTTAAGATCACCGTTTGTGGGCCAAAAATTTTGGAGAACACATCGATTTACAATGTACATCGACCAATGTCTCCCACTACCCCAAAGCGAACCCAGATATTACTTGGTGGAGGTAACTTTCAGCGAGACACGCTATATAAGAGAATGAAGAACCGGCCGGCCAAGATAAAGCTCGTGTGTTGTCAATCGTGCTGTTACTCCTCTACCTCCGTCGTTGACAGGTAAGTGGGGTAAAAAGTACGTTTCGAAAAATTTGAGAAGGGGAAGAAGTAAAAAATGTGGGATTAGTGACAAATAATAATAGAACAGTGCAAGTGTTTTCCATTGGAAATCCAATGATCATTTCTCCACTTTTCATCTGTGTATCATTGATGTTCTTCTTTTTTGAACGTGCGAATAATCATTTGGAACGATTAACGATGAATAAATAATCCGGATGATATTTAACAATATTGAACGTAGTAAATTCGAATACCAATGTGTATTGCAGTAGGTAGGTCTATGGAAATATTATGAAAAATTTTGCGAAATTATCGTCGTTATGCATGGCGGAGCAAAGATTATGGCACGTGCCCTGGAAACGGGAAAGGAAACCGGTTGTGCGAGGGCGATCAGGAACTGCAAGTTAGGAATTTATGAAAGATTTTAGTCGCATTAGTTGATCGATGTGTTATTACATCGAACTATTTTATCAATTATCCTTAATTCGTAGAATCTAGAGTAGGATAGTTCATTTTAAACATTTTTAAGCTTATATAATATCATTTTATTACATTATATAATATTTATTAAAAATAAAACTATTCAAGACTTCTTATAATCTTAAAATTCTGGAGCATAGAATACGAGAATAAAAAGTTGGCACTCTGAAGACCGCAGCTTTGATCTACTTTGAATCAAAAAAAAATGTCGCCAAAAAAATAAAGTCTGCTCCAGATTTCCGTGAGAACACGTCCAAGTCTGACAATTGGCCGACCAGTTACGTATGCCCTCTACTGATTACATTATACCGTCGCGTTCCTCTCGTTTGTAGCTGTCCGACAACTATCTCTTTTTTCATTATGCAATTGCTTTCTTTGATATGGTTCGAGAACCCCCCGTGGATCAGCTTCCAGTCTCAAGCATAACTTCGTTGAAATACAAGAAATACTTCTTTTAAAAAATCCTAAAATTAATTTCGACAATAACTTAGATCATTCCCATTTTCTCACATTTATTGCAAATTAGTCACACTTATAAAAGTAAATCAATCTCAATTAATATCTATTAAAAATCATATGATCCATCATGCTGAATCTACATTTTTAATTCAAAGCAGTCAACCTTGAGAAAGTTCAGCGATTCATTACAAGAGATTTCATTGAATGAAACTAATCGTTGCCATAAATACATCCAAGTAAAAAAGAAACTAAATTCGCACAATTACGTTCCAAGTAATCTCTGAAAATTGCTCTAATTATTAAGATATGTTAATTACGTTTGATCATGTACCAGCATGTAGAGAAAGTTCCTATGATTTTTCATGATCAACGATATCGGAGAAACTGAAATAGAAACGCAACATGAAAAATTAGTGGTGGCGATCGAATTCCTGACATCAAGTTCTATCGAATCCTCGATCGGTGTCCTTTCCAGTTGCGTACCTTGAACGATATTGTTTCGCGATCTGCATACATACTCTTACAACATAATATAATTTGCAACGCTCTAGACAGATACGTTCCCATTTTTCTCCGGATAGTACCATTTTTACACGCAAACCCTCTCACTTTCACTCGGGGCTACCGATCGAACCAAGTTTGCGACTGACTCTTTAACGATCGGCCGGTTCGCGGACTTACGCCTAGTAAAGACAAGATTCTCATTAAGAGCGACATTTTTTCCGTTCCCCGTAGTTGCTACTTATTGACCACTTTGTTTCTTTAAATGGACTGGTCAATCAAGTAAATCACCGCAACGGAATTACGCGATGACCCGGGATCCCATACGAGAAACGGGTTGCGTAAAAGTTGTATTAAGCGAGGAAAAAGCAGGTTACGTTTGATCTTTGTAACAGGCTCAGGAAACCTTTTCCAATACTCGTTTCATTCGGGTTTACCTTCTCAAAAAAAAAAAAAAAAATAAGTAGTTTTCACCAGTGATCTATGCAAGTAACTATTCCGCTGATATTATAAAATTTGAAATCACTTATCCGGTTGTATCTGTACTGGATTGCGTTTTTAATTCAAGAGTAATGAGTATGAAACACATAGCGGTTCGAAACTTTGGTATTGTAAATGCTTTGCTGTAAAATAGCCTATTTTATAAGAAATAGGGTATTTGTAAGAAGTAAGAGTAGAGGGATATTTATTACAATTTTTGTTTCTCAATTACAATTTATTTGATATGTTAAATATAAAGATCGCTTTGATTTCTCAATTTATCAATCTCCGTGATATCTTTTCGCATCTATCACATCTGTACAAGAGATTTCTCTTAACAACTGACAGATTATTACCACTGAGATGTCGGAAGATTCACTCTCGTAAGTCGAGCCTTTCAAATTTATCGAAAGCCCCGGATCTCTCGCGATACATCGTCATCACCGTTACGAATGAGATGTTTCCAACGAATCGTGAAACCACTATCCGTGTTTTACGCACTTAGAAAGTAAGGTGCTTTCCACGACCATTATCGGTAGAAGTGTAAACGGATGTATTTCTTTCAAGACAAACAATAGGCTGTCGTCAAAAAATCGATAAGTTTAATGAACTCTTCCTACGTTTGATAAATACGATAAATATTGATAATTTCGTTAAAGTATATTTATGTAGAAAGTAACTAGTTTCGTTTCCTTTGAACAAGTATACTTATACGTTTATATGTATGTAAGTAAGTGTATTTATCGATTAGGTTATTTTACTACATTTCTCGCGAATATTTTAGGTCATCGACATGCATGATTTCAGTACATTTACAGACGGTCAGCTGCGAATGAATCTGCTAAAAAGTTAACAGATATGTACCACTTTTCTAACCAATGATTTATGTTCCTATCTCTCCTTCAACCATTTTTCATTTCTAATACATCCATACCTGCGGGTGAAATTGTAATGATATATTTGATTATTAAACACTGGAAGATCGCCGCTGCTAATGTCGTTATTAATCAATTCAAATGTAAAAAGAATTACGTAAAAGATGTTGAAAAATAATCAGTCGCACGCGATGCGATTACAAGGTAATAAATGAGATCGATTAATTTATAGATGATGATAATAATTTCGTGCGAGATGAACATCAGCTTTACGTAAATCTAATGAAATATCGCTGCTTTTCACTTCGGCTCGGCTATGACGCTTTATGGAGGGCATCAAGAACCAAGGTCGCTTTCCCTTGCATATGTTCGCAGCAAATGGGATAAATTTTCTCTCTGTACTACATATCGAAAAATATATCACACGCGTCATCCTGAAGAGTGAAAAACTGACGTGGATCACTTAACGGAACTCTCACGATTTGCATTTGTAGAATGTATTGGCTGTGTCTAGCGGCATTAGCTGCAACTGCAGCAGCGCAGGGATCTTACGATCTAGAACCAAGAGTGCCTTATCCCGGCAAATCATCCAGTTTAGGGCCACTCTATTCGTCTGGCCTTAGTGCTGGTCAAGGTTTCCGCGATAACAGCTACGAGGATAACATTGTAACACCTACTCCTTCTCCGACGCCTGCTTTCAGAAATCCCAGCAGTCAACCACCTGTAAGCAATAAAATTATAATTTATTCACGATACATTAGGTTTTGTACATATGAAAATTACAAGAGAAAAATATTACAAGTACAAATTAGCTCTTATAAGAAATATGACTTGTCGTATCTTTCCCCTTTATATCTTCTATAATCTTCATAATGAATCTTCATATGAAACGAGGACATGTAGAAATTTGAGAATTTTGTTATGAATTGTCAAACTTTTAAAGATACCAATCCTGAAGATAAAGAACTGCGATGACTATTCCGAAATAATAATATTTTTTTCTTTTTTTTTTTTTAGGAGAGAAACTAGATATTTCTGATGTTATGACAACGATTGTTACTTTTATTTAATTATAAATATGACAACGATTAGTTACTTTTATCTAATTATAAACATGTATAAAATTAAAATTATTACTTGCAACGAAAACAGTTACGTCATATAATATTGCGCCTGTCGCTACATGTTACGTAACAACTTACGTAAAAATAAGTTACTTTCAATTGCTTTAACGTATTGACTCGCGTACCTTTATATATTACCATGCATAACCATGTAAAAAGAACGCATACTTTCATGAATGATCCAAGAGGCACAAGATGAGTTTGATTGCTCTTCATTCATGAATATAAATACAGGTACTTTTCATTTGTGAGCATTATTCTTTTATAGCTATACCGTAAACCATCGGGCCCACCTCTCGATCAGGCAGCTATCAGAGTGAGTGGACCACCACGTAGTGGTATTCTTCGTGGTGGACAACCACAAAATGCTCGGGTAATTATATTTCTTTAATATCCATTCAAAGCAAATTATACAGTTGTCATTTAAAAAATTTTGGGGAATATCAATGTACAGGTGAAACTGTTACGCTTTTGTATCTCACAATAAGTGAAAGTAGTCTAAGAAATTCTTGCATCCATTGTTTGCAGTTCCACTCAATAAGCTTATGTAATAGTCAGTCATTAAGATGAAAAGAAAGAAAAGAAAAAAAGAAAGAAAAATGTTCTTGAAGAAGTAAAGCATTTTTGTTTTGTCTGTGATTTCCAATAATTACGTATTTCGTTGCCATCCCAGAACGACTATTGAAATTAAATAATAATTTTGTAGTAAATCGTTGAGCTAATTTTAAGAAAGATCTTAGCTACTATCTTTCAAAGAATACAACAGAGAAATGAAATGTCTTACATAAATGGTTTAGTAGCTACTTTGTTCGCATTAAAACATGTATAATGCTTCAAATCGTATTCTAAACTTAAAGGAAGCTGAAGAATTGGAAGAGAAAGAAGAGCCCGATCGTTTGACTCTTCTTTTACCACAAAGTAAATTCGATTGTGTGAACAAGCAAACGGGCTATTATGCCGATGAAGATCTTAATTGCGAAGTCTTCCACTATTGTCAAGACAACGCGAAACACTCTTGGATCTGCCCCGAAGGATTTACATTCCATCAGGTAATTTTCAGCAGACACAATCTTTAAATAGATCTACTCTCCGTATTCAACGCAAGAATGCGAGACACTTTCCACACCTGTTATATTCCGTAATTACACGAATAGTGACCTTTTATGCGTAATCTGAGCTGCTGCAAGTGAAAACGTTGACGAATATAAAATTCCCGTGATCGTGCAAACAGCCAGGTTTGAATATCACTGATAAGCAAATTTCACTTCTCTCGTGCTTTGGCGCGCGTTTTCACCATACCTCTTCCGGTTTTCTGTACCCGGACAAGCAGGTGGGTAAGGCCAATCATAAATCGCACGTTCAATCGCCCGATACCAGTGCGCCGTTATGCGTTTCCGGGATAATCTACTCGCGTTCCTTCTCTCGATAGCAGAGATGCAAATAAAAATGTACGCGGCGTTAACTATTCCACGAAACTCCTTTCTCTTCTTAAACCTCGAGATAGTTACAGATCTCTGTTACAGGTTCATCTAATTTGCATGCCTCCGAGTGGAGACATCAATTGCAAAAAGAGTTCGCAGTACCATTTCGTCAACGAGTACCTTTACAAACCATTGAACTTGGCTGAAGCTGAGAACAAACCTAACGTAACCTTGAGATACAGCGAAAGATACTTCCCGACAGACATTCACCCGGACGAGCGCGAGGCTGGTGACTATCAGATTACTCCTTCTGCACCTATTCGCCGCCCTACTCCACCTGTAAGATTTTATTTACATGCTACTACTTTGAAATGTAAAGTAAAAGGAGATAAAAATGTGAGATATGTATCTATAGGTGTATGCGAGTCCCCAACCTACGTTGAACAGTATTCCACCGTCAGCACGTCCACAACCAACGGGTCTTCCTCAATTTCGTTTACCCGTGAACCAAGTTTTCCGCAGTCCCGAGGAAGTGAACATTCCTCTTCAACATAGACGCCCGCAACCTCAACACCAGCCTGTGAGAAGATTCCCTCAAGTACGACCCGATGACGAAGAGTACGAATAAATTCAATCGGCATTCCTTTGATAATTATCATCCATCGTCGCAATCATCGTCACATTTCTGTCGTTAATTATATCACATCTGGTGTCATCATACATCTTTCGTTGAAATTACAAAGAAAAGATAAAAGCACACTCTGGAGTAATTATTATATTTATTCGAATAAAGTATAGTTATAGTTCTATGAATTAATTGTATAATATATAAATCGTTTCTAGCATTTCGTACTCTTACCCTGTAGAAATCTGACAATTATTTTCAGATTGAGAACGATTGATAACCGGATTTATAATTGGTATGCTGAATTAGATATGAAATTATATTTATGGATATTGCAAACATGCTAATATATGTATATTCAACATTAGTTTAACAGTGATAACCAATAAATTGTTATTACGTTATCTTTAATAACACTTGTTACTTTAGAATGCTGCTATTATGAATATTTTTGAAATGCGTGCTGAGAATCCCAAAAACAAGAAAGCAAAATTTATATAAGACGCGCTTAAGGTTATGTGCGCGGAGAAATATCTGTTTAAACGAGTTATGTATGGTATAAAATATATAGAAAAATTAAGTCATGCATATGTATCAGATATAATTGAATAATGAAATTATTTTTTATTCTTATAAGAAAAATGATAATAAACTTAGATGTATATATATATATATATATATATATATATATATATATATATATATATATATATATATATATATATATATATATATATATATATATATATATATATATATATATATATATATATATATATATATATATATATATATATATATATATATATATATATATATATATATATATATATATATATATATATATATATATATATATATATATATATATATATATATATATATATATATATATATATATATATATATATATATATATATATATATATATATATATATATATATATATATATATATATATATATATATATATATATATTACGAGCGGAAAGGGGGTGATTCTACGTTAAAAAAGAAGTCGAAAATATAGAATAAAAATTTTTCGTTTGAGGCTTTGTTTTCGAGAAAATTGACTTTGAATTTTCGCTCGGTACACGTGCAGTACGTTATAACGGATCTCATTGTAGATCGTTGTCTCGATGGAAAAGTTTAAAAAAACAAATTTAAAAAAGAAAGTTTTATTCTATATTTTCGACTTCTTTTTTCGCGTAGAATCACCTCCTTTCCGCTTGTACCACCAGTTACCAACCACCCTGTATATATATCATACTGTTAAAAAGAGACATTGATGTTTCATATTATATCAAGTAGTAACAAAGATTGTCAGAACGTCATAGCGCAACTTATGTTGCGCTTTACTGTATAGAGTTTCTTTTTTAATTTTTCAGGATACTTGCAATAAATAAATAAAGAACAAACAGCTGAAAGAAATATAAAACAAGTTAGGATTTGTTTAATATACATTGTTTATTGAATTGAACGAGTGGAAATTTGGATTTTCTCTTGTTCGCTTTCACATATGTATATACTTTCTGTAAGTTTCGCCATATTGTTTGCTACACTACCGCCTTCTAAAGTAAAAAGGAGTTCGGGGTTAGAATCAAAGTATTAACACTTCGTTTGATTCACTTAATGTCCCTGTGTGTTTTTCTTGTTCGAGTGACTTTACACAGTTCCATCATTTATTAAATCCTACTTGTAAAGCGCGAACAAACTACGTAGGTTTCATAGTGTTTACATAAAAATTATCGGTGCATTTTCGTATACCATTAATAACCGACATTCAATCAAGAATTTTGGAACATGGCTGCTGCTGCTGCTGCTGCTCTGCTCGACGAGCTTATGGGAAGGAATAGAAATGTTCTTCCCAATGAAAAACCCAAAGAACTTAATTGGGAAGATCCTGAGGTAAGTACTCGAAAATGTTGATATTCCGACATAGTTATTTGAAAAGTTGGAGTTTTGAAGTATTGATATTTCGTCATAATTTTCATTCTTATTTTTCATTACAGTTTTGTAAATTGTATTTAGTTAAATTTTGCCCTCATGACTTATTCGTTAATACGAGAGCTGATTTGGGTGCGTGTTCTCGAGTGCATGATGACGAAGCTAGAGAGTTATTCGAAAAAGCTCCTTACTCGTATCGAAAACAACAATACGAGGATGAATTTATTAGATTTTGTCAAAGCATGTTGAATGAAGTTGAAAGAAAAATAATAAAGGGAAAACAACGATTAGCCCTTATTGGAAGAACAGAAGCGGTAAATTAATTTTAAAGATTCATTTTGTAGAGTGCCCTGTGTTTGTAATGATAAAAATCTATAAATTATTATTTAGCCTACCTTGACACCAGCACAAACTCAAAGAAATGAAGAACAAATTGCACTTTTAACTGAAAAAATCAATAAACTAGTAGAAGAAGCAGAGCAAAGCGGAATACAAGGCAATGTGGAACAGGCTCAAGGCCTAATGAGACTATGCGATCAATTAAAAGAAGAACGAGAAACGTTAAGAAAGTCTAATGATAATAGTCATTACAATCAGGTAAATATTATAATACATTGTATAAAGTATCATAATAAAGAACAGTAAAAGCTAAAAATTTCGTTTATCTTAGACTGCTGAATTAGCTGCTGCACAAGAAAAACAGATGGAGGTATGTGATGTATGTGGTGCATTTCTTATTGTTGGTGATGCTCAACAACGAATTGATGATCACCTAATGGGTAAACAACATGTTGGCTATGCTAGGTTAAAGAGCGCACTTCAAGAAATTATGGTAACTCATAACTTTTAAGAAATATATTTTGTATACATTCTCTGATAGCTTGAAATGATAATTACTATAAAAATAACTTTGTAGAGCAAACGTGAAAAAGCCAGAGATGAAAAGGAGCAAAGGAGGGAAGAGGATAGAAAACAAAGAGCACGTGCAAATGAAGAACTTGATAGGCGAAGAAGAGATGATAGGGATAGGGATAGAGAAAGAGATAAGCGTCGTAGGCGTGATGATGATAAAGGCAGACATGACTCAAGCAGTCACAGGTATCATAGCTACTCACATGTTAATTTATTACATTAAATTATTAAGGTATGATAATTTCATATTGCTAATTATGTGCAGAAATTCAGGACACAGAAGTAGAAGCAGATCAAGAGACAAACATGACAGACATCGAGATGATGATCACCGACGTCATGCTCGAGATAAAGGTAAATAAATAATGCACCATAGCAAAATTTGAACTATTCAAATATCCATTTAACTTTCAGGAAGTCGTGATCATCGAAGCTCGAGTCATCACAACCGGCGTCGCCATCGATCTAGAAGTCGAAGTCACAAGTAACTACTCTTGATTGGTTAGTGAGTGAGAAGTAAGCCAGGTATGCACTAAACAATATATCATACTCGTCTCAATTACTGTACAGGTTCTTTACCAGGTGAGTTTCATTAGATGCACATAATATATACATGATAATTATCTGTAATTTTGAAGAATGGCATAGTCACAGCGAGCCAGTCTCTGGTCCTGCCTATTAATCGGAGAAACACTTGTACTAAATTTCATATGGACCTGTTTGTACAGCGTTTAATTTTCAAAGTGACGAGCTCGCTCTATGTAACGTATTACTGAAAAACGGTGCATCGAGGTAATGTCGAGCAAGGAATAGTAAAAGTTGTTCCCATATGAAAGGTATTTTTATCATGTAGTACTATAGATATTGTCTACAGAGCAAGATAGGAGAAGGTATACCTATGCTTGCTTTGATCGGTATAATGTCTTCATAGGGTAAATCAATTATATAACTTCAACAACTGCATAGCTTTTTTGTCGAAAAGAAATTAGTGGTTTAGTGGAGGAAACAGTGCCTACTTCCGTAGACCTGCCACAACAGTGCCCTGTGTGACTGTGACTATACAATCCTAGCTTCTACTACGCATTTCTGAGGTATTTATATCGGAATGATAATACCAAACATGTCCTTTTATTAGGAAAATTAGACGTTTTCAAAATGGTGATCTTTATTTTGGAGCAATATTTGAGTGCTTAAAGTTATGATAACAAACTCCTGCTCTTACTTTCCTTATACCCTGATTGTAATTTATTGGAGCATATTCAATTTGAAATCAAACAATTATTAATTAGTCAGGGAAAATTTCTGCTATGTACCCAAAGGAACAAGTTTAATCATTATGTTTAAGATAATAAAGCCATAATTTTTTGAAATAATAAAAGATTCATATGTATAGTCCAAAAATATAAAATACGCATATTTAACAGCCATGTGGCTATAATTGATTAATCGATAAATAAGTCCAGATTATAACTTGGTATATAGTTGTATCGTCGTCTTTTGAACTCTACTTGTAAAAGTTCGAGAAACATGTATCATATATGATGCATATTCTTCCCTTTGCATGCATTTTTTTCTCCATTATTTTTAGTTCTGAGAGACAGGACATGGCGAAGCTCAGTCAAATTTTCTTAGCAGAAAGTCGTAATTGTTATAGTATCACGGTACAGCGATTTGAAGGTTGATGACAGGTCATGTGGAATGTATCTTATGGTGCTCCGAGGACATCCCCTTTAATCATATCTTGTCTTATTCTTTTATCGTGTCCTTCATTTCGGCTTATAGAAAACTCATACTTTGTGCGCGTACTACATTTGTGTAATTCATATGTAATTCATATTGACTCATGATAAATCATTCACACATTTAATAATATACTTCCTGGACCACATAGATTAAAAAAAAATAGAAAGAAAGAAAGAGAAATGGAAGAAACAAAGTATTAAAATAATGGCTCTAAATAAAGGATCGTCTTGTATTGTTACATTGGGATGAAAGGAGTCTTACATGATAAAAGATCCCAATTGTTTCTAATTAAAATTTGTTATCCATCATGATAGGTTTTCATTCCACTCTCATTTCATTTTTATACTGTCATACATCTGATAAATAATTTTATATTGAAGGAAAATTACTAAAAATAAATTTATTAAAACATTATTTCAGCACAGACCTACTCACATGAAAAAGGAGTGAATTTATTAAATAGTATTAAATTTTTATATTAATAAGTATCTTCTAAAAAGGTTAATAATATTTGTTATATAACTTTTGTAATGATAATTAATGTCACTTTTTCGTCTATAAGTTTATTAATACATCAATTATTTTTATTTAAATTTTGTATAATGTATTTAAAAACTTATTCTGTTTATTTCCAATGTCACAAGCAAAGATGATCAGTTTTAATTATGTAATCTGCTTCCTCACACATGTAGCCGACAGAAGTATGATAATTTTTTAAATGTCATGTATTAGGACAAGGTTAACAAATAATATATAAATACGTTATCCTGTGCTATTTGGTAACGACCAAAATTAATATGAGAAAAAAAGATAATAGGATCATAATTTCTAAAAGCTGTGTTGTCTATTTTCAGACAGGAGACATGCCATGGGAATATAACCATTACAACAGGCTCACTTGCACACTGCTTAATATAATATTAAGGTAAAGATTTTGCATAATCTAAAAATTCCAATCATGAATTTTATACACTTGCGTTTAAGTTGATATTTGTCGTGTCGCATACTCTTCAAGCTAATTACGAAAAATCAAAATTCTAAAAATTTAGTAATTAAATACCATTGTCAACATTATAATTTAAAAATTAAAAGCAGATTTATTAGTAATCTATTCGTATCTGATGCAAATGTTACTTTAGGCTACATATAAAAAAAGATATGAAGGTAAATTGTCTATAATTTAAATTGTAATACCTTTAAGATTGTTAATTAAATTTAATAAAACAGTACTACAATGAAAGTATCAGGTTATTTTGGAAAACATGCAAACATTAAAATAGGCAGGAATATAAGCAAAGTAACAGATACTGTACAATTTTTAACATTAAATTATAAAATTTATTAAATAAAAATATATACAGGAATAACACATTATTGAGCGATAGGATATTCTACCTGAATACTGTACATAGTAGTGATATTTGCTATAATACAATTGTCCGCTAGAATCAAATTATCTTTGTACAAAACTAAAATACTGTATATCAAGTGTAAATATTTATATTGGCTGAATGACTTTGGTTCCATCATGCGTAAATTATTGACTTTCTTTAAATTTGATGTTAACAAACACCAACAAATTATATTATTAAATAGAAACAATTTTATTTAAGCCCTATAAAATTTGTAACCTAAAAATAATATATTATTTAATTCGTATGATTTGTCTTGATAATAAAAAAGTGAACGATTTACAAATTTTGCTACCTCTTCGTATACGGTCCAAGCCATTGCAGTCACTAATGTCCTTCTCAACATTCGTGGAACAATGCCTTTAAAATATCCTAATACACCATATCTTTTATAAATCCTAAAAGCTGCATTACGAACGTCTTTAAATTCATTGGGATATAATTGCATTTTTGTCTTGATTACATCAGCAGGTTGTGTTACAATGGAAGCAAATATTCCTGCTAGTATTCCACAACTAAAATGAATCGGAGCTGACGACTTGGCGTAGGGAAAATCTAAAAAGAAATATTAAAAAGATATAATCATATCGTGGATAAATTAGTTTATAATTTTATTTTGATAAAAATTTACCTGCTTCCGTAAAAATACTTTTTAATTGAGTATAAAACGTGAGATAAATGCCACTATAAGGAGCATCTCTTAATAACGTTGGTATTAACCCTCTTGAAAGACCTCTTACTCCTTCCTGCTTGTAAATTAATCTTAATGCTTCTGCTATGCTATTATATTTATAAACTTCACTCTATGAAAATAATATCAATATTAAATTTTATGATTTCATGTAACTGGTATTAACTGGAATATTCTAGATTATTAATATCAATATTTTTATGTCTAATCATTAAATTTTACTTTCTGCATATTTTTCTTTCTATAGTGTATATATTAAAATATAAATATATTTGTAATAATTACACCTACTTCAAAACGTGTTTTTACTACTGTTATTGGAATTAATAAAACTCCAGACATAGACCTTGCAGTAATACCTAATAGCAAAGCTTCTGTAGATGTGAGTGGATCTTCTAGATGCAATGTGTGCTTTAACCAATGTAATGTTGAAAAATACAATCCAACACCAGGTACAACCCTAGTAATGGTCTGAAAATTTTGTTTAATCAGTAACATTTCTTAAGTTTGTCAAATCTAATAATTGCAAAAATTCTTACTGGAGTTATACCCTTCCAGAGTCCAAACACATTTTCATTTTTGATTATATGAATTACTATGCCTAAAGTACCACTTTTTGGAGTACTAGTACAAGAATAAGCAAATTAAATAATTTTGTATAAATTAATTTAAAAAATGAAACATTATATTATTTTACACTTACTCAAGATGCATATTTACTTTGCTTTGGAGTCTGGTTTTAACAAGATCCAATGGTTGAAATAAAATAGTTGAAAATGTACCAGATAGTGATCCCACAAGAAAAGACTTCAAAACAGGATACTAAAAGAGATATATATAAAAATTTTAATTTTGAAAATGCATTGGAATAAATGATATATTTCTAATTAAATATTTGAGATACTGTGCAAATCTATCTCTATTTATATAATTTAGAAAAATTATATTGAAGATGCGATACAATAGAGTAGTAGATATTAATACATCTCATATGATAACTGTGATTGTAATACACATATGACCTATTATCTTGCATGAGTTTACTCACGTGAGTTATAAACTTCTTTTAAAAGGTCAATATAATTATTATCTATACATACATTACAAGATGATCTCTTTTCACTTCTTTTTTTAATATTTCTTAATTATTTTTTTTAATTGTAAACTATATCTAAAAATAATATGCTGCAGTCTAGATCTATAGACTATGAAAAGATACTTTCTATAAAAAGAATTTATAATATTCAATTCACACAATGTTTGGTACAGATATAACATTTCTAAATGATGATTAATACATGGCCTGCTTTTATGTCTTACTAAATATTAAAATTTTATTTTGAATATCTTTGAATATTATCAAAATTATAAATCTACTTTTTATAATTGTATAACAGTTACATTTTTATGATAGTCGTAGAATAGATAATTTTTTATTTTCTTTTTCAGCTTATACTTGTATATTTGGGACATCAAACTCGCAAATTCATAATGCAAATGAACACATGAGATACTAAATGGTGGATACTGCTCCACATAAATCATCTCCCATCCAGTACACCTCTTTTTCTAATTAGAGGTATTTTTTATTCAAATATATTAGTACTTTCTTTTTTTATTCAATGTATAGAATAATCTTTATCAAAAAAAGTATAATATATAATATAATATATTTAATAATTAAATAAATAAATTTTATTTAATATATATTTAAACTAATCATTCCAATATTCTTTTATATTTACATAATATTAAGCATAAAATATTTTATCTAATTTTATTAAAAGACAACTGTTCATATATATACAAACAAAGAAGATACTAAATAAAATTTTTTAAACCCAACAGTAAACCCAACAGTAGCTTCAAGTATAACAACGTTTTCCCTTATCAATTTTTGGGATTTTTGTCACTACAATCAATAAAAATTTTATTAATTAAATTTCTTACAAATTATTCAAAAAAGAAGTTATTGTAAAATAATGAGATTCCAATACTTACAGTTCCAAAAGCTTCCATGATATAAAATCTATTAGAAGTTTAAAAATGAAAAGATTTTAAATTGCAATAAAGTGAACTAGTTCTTGATATAAGACAAAACTGAACAAAAATGTTTTCTTAATGCTTCCTTTACTGTTACAAAGATACTGAGCATGTTGAAAACGTGATTCTTACTTACATCTTCTTTTATCTTTGTCTCACCATGTTCTGGGTCAATAGAATAACCCTGCATATCGACGCATGCTCCAGTAAAAAAATCCAAGAATATCAAACTAAAACGTGATTTAAACGTGACTTAATATGAAACGTGACTTATTTCAGTATGTATTTAATCTGAAGATATAAGAATTACAAAATATGTTATTTGTTATATACATTGATTTTAATATCATATGATTTCACACTCTTTACATAAAAAAAACTAAAAATTTCAAAATAATTTAAAAAAAAAATAATGATAAAAAGATAGAAAGAATGATTTAAAAATATATACTCTAGTGCAATGACTTTACAAAATTAAGATGACTATCTATTTTAAATAATTTATTGCTCATGTACCATAATATTTCATGATAAAAATAGTGACATATGTATGTATTTGTAGCTGATTAAAGAATTTATAAGTATGAAGTAAAGGTTTAGGCATAAAAAAAGAATTTGTTTAGGTTAGAATTAAAAAATTTAAAGATGAAATGCTGATATTTTATAAAATTAAATAGAGCACTTAATTATTCATTTTAAAAATATACCGTACATTTATCGTTACTATATACTGTAAATATAATTATATCATTACTACTGAATGTACTTCGTAATAACTGCACATTTGAAAACAGATAGGTCAGCAGTAATGTAGAATATAAAGTTCTATAAAATTATCGCGAAGCCGATAAAAAATTCGTTCTTATCAAAGGACTTATTATTTTGAAATAAATTTGTTTGCGATATTGTCGTGGATTTGTTCGTAATTGCATGTGGTCAATGACGTATGTATTGTTTGTTTTAAACTTACATTTCACAACTAAAAAATAACGAAAACAGTTCATTGATAAATATTTTGTAAGATGTATGTTTCAGATTTATAAGATATCTCGATATAATGGCGTACAAAAAAATACATGGGATACATGTTTATCATATTAAAGCATTGAGACAAGTTGTACAAATATAATTAATATATCAAATTTATTATATGAAAAAAACTATCAAATTATAATTAAAAAATATTTAAAAATATTCAGCATTAAAGAGTATTTTTTATTAATACTTTTATTTAAATAAAAATTAATCTTTCTAAAATGAACAAAATATTTTTTATTCTAAATATGACAGTATGAATAATATAGGCTGGTGTATTATTATTAGAATTATAAATTCTTTTAATTTATATTAAATCTTAATAGTACATACAATATTATTATGTATTGTATAATAAAATATTTCTTAGAAAGCCCGCTACTTGAAACGAACTGGATTTCCTGTTTGTGCGCTGTGTTCGCTTCAGAATTATAATTTGCAGTAGGATGTCGGCCATTTCTACTTCGTATACAGCGTGGTGTGGTCGTTATTCTTACGCAGTCGAGTAAGGTATGCTATTTACTTAGAAGTCTTTTAAAATTTAATTTCTTTCAGTAATAATAACAATTTCTAATATTATCAATATCTAATGTATTTTAAACTATATTAGGTTGAGTTTAAATATCTCTTCGAATTGATTGTTTCTTAACGTTCTTTACACACGTGGTTCGAATAAATTTTATTTTCGTTATCTTATATAGAAGCATAATTTTACAATATTACAATAAATTTATTCATTTAAATATTACATATATTTATGAAATAAAAGAAAATATTTTTTATTAAATATATATTAGGTAACGACTATACAAAATGGTTAACGGACGGATACCCTCAGTTTTTTCAAAAACTTATGTTACTCCAAGGAGACCTTATGAGAAGGCTCGTTTAGATCAAGAATTACGAATTATTGGTGAATATGGTCTTCGTAACAAGCGTGAAGTATGGAGAGTTAAATACACACTAGCAAATATTCGAAAAGCTGCTCGCGAGCTTCTTACTTTGGAAGAAAAGGATCCTAAACGTTTGTTCGAAGGTACTACATAAATTCTTACTAATATCTTTCATTCAATAAACTTTTTACTAGATTTATATGATGAATTACTTTCTGACACCTCTTGTCTGATCATTTTGATGTTATTTCTTTATTTCTACTGATGAAATCATACATTTAATGTTTTCTTTGTATACTTTAATTTTTATTTATTAAAGTACGTAATTATCAGGAAATGCTCTTTTGCGTCGCTTGGTAAGAATTGGAGTACTAGATGAAAGCCGTATGAAACTTGATTATGTTCTTGGCTTGAAAATCGAAGATTTCTTAGAAAGACGACTTCAAACTCAAGTATTCAAATTGGGACTTGCTAAATCTATTCATCATGCCCGTGTGCTTATTCGTCAACGTCATATTAGGTAAATTTCATTAAATAGAATACTTCATATGCCTTAAAAAATGGGCAAGAAATATCTGATTATACACAGATTCTTTCTAATCTTTAAGGCAATAGTAAATTCCAGATTAATCACCAAATAAGGAGTAAATACTTGTTTGGTTTCATAACTGGAGACAATTTTTAGTTTCTTCTAAGAATGAAACGTGAGAGTAATAGTCTTTTGGCTACTGCAGGTATTCAAACATTCCTGATTGTCCAATGAAAACAATAGAAAAAATGTGATTTTAAATATTGGCTGGGTAGCTATGATACTCGAGAACATGCAGCACTGTGTATTAATATTTTCTTTCAGGCAGGCCACTTGAGTGTTAGGGAACTAGCACTTAACGTCTGTCGCATACTTACGGATACGTATTCGCGTTAAAAATATATAATTGGTATATTCTTTATATGTTAAATAGAGTCAAATTAATATCTTAAATTATTAAAGATACAAATTATTGGGAAGTAGAAATACGAAACATAACATGTATTCCTATTCCAGAGTGCGCAAACAAGTGGTGAACATTCCATCTTTCATTGTGAGATTGGATTCACAGAAGCACATTGACTTCTCACTAAAATCTCCATTTGGTGGTGGTAGACCTGGTCGTGTCAAGAGGAAGAACTTGCGTAAGGGAAGCGGAGGAGCTGCTCCAGAAGAAGAAGAAGATTAAATCATTTGTTTTGTAATACTTTTATTTAATAAAAGTATTCCTTAAATGTTCAATAATTTCTTAAGTTCTGATTTTTATTTAAGTTCCTACTTCTTTGAGTAATATAAGCTTAGTGTTTAAAAGAACAATATTATCGGCAGAAAATTGTAAGATATTAATAGGAAAATACAGAATTAGTGGGGAAATTATTAAATTCCTACATAATATGGATGAAGAAATAAATAACTTTATGTAATAATATCGTCTAATATATCATTTCAACAATGAAAATCAGTTAAATATTCATGTTTGGTTAATAATTTACAATTAGTACATTTCTATAATTTTATTAACGAACTAAACCATATACATGTATAATTCTTATCCTATGATTACAAAAATGAATAATCTTATATCAAGTTTAATTGAAGGAAAAATATTTCATTTATTTTCATTTAAACTTATTTTTAAATAAACATATTGAAATAAAACAATCCTGTAAAAAATGTTAGTTTTCAATGTATGCTGCGAGGAAAAAATAAGTTGAATCTGAAATAAGAAGTCCTTGATCAAGAATTTTTATTAGAATAGGTTGGAGGATAGCGCCGCATAGGAACAGTGCTGGCAATATGACCCGTTGAAATTTGAAACCAGTTGAAACGTACGAAGTCGCGACAGTACCACCTTGAACCAATGATCGCGTAATATCGAAGAATTTTTCGAAGTTTGTCGGTCCTGGCTCGAAGTTCGCCAGTCTACTATGTTCAGAGTATACTTGTTGCACGCGGTGGAGTTGGATCGGTGGTTGGTCGAGGAGGGAAGAAAGGGGACAGAGACAAGAGTAGAAGTAGAAGATTCTTCTTACGTTAACGTGGGACTTCGCGAGCTTTCCGCAAGCTGGTGAGCGCGTCTCGATCAATTAGCATATGCCACTTCCTAGCGGGAATTTTGTTTCACTGATTGAATAAAGGTAATTAGATGACAGTGTGCTATTATAGTGTAATCCAGCGACCGTTCATCTGATATCGTATACTGACAAAAAACAATCGGGTCTCGAGCCAAAACTTGACACTTCTTTTTTTTTGTATTAAAGCGGGAGACCGCCTTTCTAACCTAAATTCTAAATTCTGTCATGGACAGAATGCGGGGTAGGGTAAGGAGGGCGATAACCATGAATCTCCTTCTCTTTTTGACAGCTAAAAATACGGTTTTTTGAAGGAACGACCGCAACATCGAACACCTTGACTATTTCGGATACGATACGTCGCGCACGCATCCTGACTCGTTCACGTAGTTTTGTCTCATAAAATGCGCGCTTTTTCATCTTTTACTGTATTATGTGTTTTTCTACTCTACAAACTGCGATTAGTTATATTTGTATTGGTTGGTTAACATTTCCATATCGAGTGGGAGCTATCGAGTTGTTGTGCATTCGTAATTTTTTTACTTAACATTTAAATGGAAGTGTGTAATTTACGATGGATTAATACACGACTTATAAATGAAAATTGTGTGCTTTGAATTTGTCATTCACTATATACCGCCGTCGATAGAATCAGTTGACAAGATAGCTAAATTATATGTTTTGTGCGCGATTAAAATCTTTTTCTTTCTTATTTACAATTTTAATTTATGTGATAAAAATTATAATTATGTATTTGTAATTTTCATGTGTAGCAAAAAAGTAGATGTATAACGATAATTAAGTAAAATTCTCGTTTTTTATTTGATATATTGTAATAATTATTAAAATTTCATTGAGGAGATGATATTAAAGCTTAATTTTAGTCTTTGTTATATCTATTGTTATGAAAATATATTCATTCTTTAGAATGAAATTAATCACTACTTAAGCTTAGATCAATTGCTATTATTGTAGAGCATATTCATTTTGTCAATCTTATCTACAGTATTGATATCTGTAATATACAGAATAATGTGCTGATCAAAATTTAATCTGTATTTTTTATAAATAGAAATAATAATATATTTGTAGTATTCACTTTTGGAAGTTGTAATGCAAGGAACATTGAAAAAGCACTAAATTATTATTGTAACATTTGCAAATTACATTTCAGTGTAAAAAATATATAATTTATATCTATGATTTCATAAGGCAATGATGAATTTGTTTTATTAAATATTAGTACTATAAAAAATTGTAAATTATATTTATCATTTGCATATAGAAAAATTAAATATTAAATAATTATTTTTATTGTTATTCACAATGTTGTTATTTATTCTTCATAATAAAATCTATTAACTTAACTAATCAACTAGTTACATTTTATAATATATTCTGAATTTATAAATGTAATGTATGATTTTCTTCTTTAAACAAATATATGATATATAATCAGTAACATTGTTAGCTGTAATTGGATTCATTATCACTGTGATTGTTGCATAGATAGCTACTTCCTATTTGATGTAATATCTTATTGCCTATACTGTGATGTAATGATTTTTTGAATAGACCATAATGCTGTATAATAGTTTGAATATACTTTAACATTATTTGCTAATAAAGGTTGGTAAATATAAGGTTTCACATATGTACATATACATATAAATTAACTATATTTAAATCAAAATCTTTTATTTCATTTTACAGAATATACAACATGTCACATCATTTTGTCACAGTTTGTGTAGTTTGTGTTTTATGTGCTGCACACACTCCATGTTCAGCACATACTGAATTCTCAACAGCGGGACAAACAACTCATAATTTTGTTAACTCTGAGAAGCAATTAGGACCTAATGAACAATTACAACCATCTTGGTTATTAATAAAATCCAAAGATACACAGCAGAGGGATGTGAGAAAATTAAATTTAAATAATCTAGGTGCTTATAACAATGGTGCTGTTGAATTTTCGAATGTGTTAGATAACAATAGCAGAAGCAAAACTATATTATTGGTACCAATTGCCACAAATGAAATCTATACTAAAAACAAAAACACAGAAATTGTAAAAGTTAACGAAAATGTTGAAATCCCAATAATAGGGGAAGATCCAAACAGCTTAGAAGATATAGAAATATTAGAAAGGCTAGGCCAAATTGAAATTATGCACAATGATGAATTAAATGCAGCACAATTTAACGGAGATCAAAATCCTCTTAACAGGATTAGGGCAAAAAGAAATGTAGACATTATAGATGAAAAATATTTCATTGAAAAGATTTTTGAAGCTTATGGAGATGGTACAAGCATAACAATGGAAGGCTTTGAAAAATTGTTAAAAAAGTTAGGACTATTGAGATTATTAACAGATATATCAAGCGTAGAAAATCATAATACTATTACTAGTCAAAATGAAAATCCACTGGGTAAGTTATTTAATTTATTGATTAAATCATTATTAGAAACATATCTCTTTAATGAATTGAAGAACTTAAATTAATTTAATAATAATTAAAAAAGAATTTATATTTAAGAATTTATTTGAAGATCAGTCTATATTATACATACATGGTATACTACTTTTAATTACCAATTACCAACCTATCAATCATAATAAGAAATAAAGCTACATCTGCTCTTATGTATATATAAGCTGATAATATTTTATCTTTATTCAATATGAGAATCATCTTGATCATAATAATTTAGCTTAACTTAAGAGTTCAAACTCCTTTTCAATTGACCTTGATTCATTAATTCATAGAGTTATTTATTGATTTCATTGGATGCTTATTTACAATTATATTAAAATGTATTCATGATATCTTATGAAATAAATGTATTTAATGCATATTATAAAGCTAGAAAAACATAGTTAAATATTAAAAAGAATCTGTAACATTCATTCTACAGTTATGAATGAATAAACAAAATTTGATAATACTTCTATTGTCTCTACAAGATATCAGTGGTTAAATAATCATATCATGTGTAATGTTATCCTCTATGTAGATAACTGACATTTTTCTATTATCAGTCACATACTGTTATAAAAATGTTGTTATTATGAAGACATATATTATAATATTTTTATTATATTTTGTATTATATTATATTGTATTATAATATTTTTCCAATCTGTCTTTTTTGAACACATTTATTATATGAATTATTCATGTTTTTAGATTAAATAATATTATGCAAAACTTTCCAGTATAAGTTTTTTTTCGGTACTATGAATAAATATATAATTTTTTCTTTGTGTAGACAAGTCAAAGAATTTACAAAATAATGGCCTACCAGAATATGAAAATGGAGCTAAAAAGGAACGGGTGAGATAAATTATAACAATTAAGATTACAATCTATCTTACAGAAATCAAATAAATTAATATTTTTCTTAAGTAATTAAATATTTCTCATAAATGACAATCTCGCTATTTCAGTGCTTAAGTAGTAAAGAATTATTAAGTACTGTTGCAAGAGATATGCCATACAATTTGATCACTAATAATAATTCAACATTACCAAGTTGGCTTTTTGAACGCGTGTGTCCAGCTCTTGTTTACCAACTAGCAGGTGAATCAAGCTCAGAGAGAAATGGATGTATTCGTGTACCAGAGAATTATAAGCCAATAATTAATAAATATCACGGAGAAGACGTTACTCGAAATATGGTTCAAGGTATATAATCAATATAATATCAATTAGAATTTGATATCTTTAAGTATTATAGAATTCTAAATACATGACTTTCTTATTTAGTGTGGGCCTATTCAACAATCAGTATTCTAATAATCAGTCTCTGTGGTTTACTTGGTGTAGCTGTTATACCTTTCATGGGTAAAATTTATTATCATCAATTATTGCAATTTTTAGTTGCACTTGCTGTAGGAACATTGTGTGGTGATGCTCTTATTCATCTTTTACCACATGTAAGATGTTATATAATATAAGTATAATATTTTAACATAAAGAAAATAAATTATATTACTACATAAGAAAGAATTATTCTTCTATTAGGCAATGATGTCACATCATAATCACGAACATATTCATAATGACCATGTTGAATTAAATTCTAAAGAAGAACACAACATGAATATGTGGAAAGGGCTAGTTGCAATGATGGGTCTTGCATTATTCTTTTTTACGGAGAAAGCTT